ACAAGTGTTAGGTAGATTTTTCAGTTCTAACCAGAAGTTTCCAGAACGAAAATATGTGAGCCAAGCAGCAATTTATTTTTAATAAGTACTATGGGCTACATCATTCGCATCGGGAAACAGGGATACGGGATCCATAATTGACCATTATGTATTAACTGACCAGTCTGAAACGATTCGGACCGAACACTAACCACCAGTCTACCAGAATTGTATAGATGCCGGCAAACTTGACAGATTGTACAACTCAGCTACATGTGTTTCGGACCCTATCTCCAGTTATTTGGACTGGACGCAAAACGGTAGAAAGGGGCAGATGACCTAAAAATAACTATATTATCGGATGCAGACTACCTTAATGTCACAATAAAGCTGACTCGTGGTATTAACACAACCGACGTCAGACGAACGAGCGAAATGTGAAGGTTGGACGGTTGGCCGAAACAGACAACGAGCTGTCATAATTGGCAGTCAGGTCTGCACAGTACAACTGCATGCCCAACAGATTCTTTTCATTATCCACGTATGAGTCATTGGAAAAAAGCAGACAAACAGATATTGTTGGCAGCGATCAGTAGTGGAATCGGCAGGCTCCAATTCCACCTAATTCTGTTGACAGGATGGCATTTGCCGAAGTAACCATGGGCGCCGATTAGGTAATCGCACGATGGTCGAGGAAACGAGGGTTTGCAAACCATAGTGGTCATATAGTCTGTAGATGTAAACTCGGTCTGACAGGCTGAAAAATGACTGGTTGGTTGTTATCAATTGTTCGATGTGTTGAATCCGCAGCATGATTTGTTTCAATCGCCCAGAGGTTTTAAACACTCAATCAGTTAGAAGAAATTTTGGAATCGATCGGAAAAGTTTGGAAAGCAATCGGTTTACATGTGCTCTGTGTGAAATGATGTTTCCATCACTTATGCTCTGAAGGATGAACTTCGAGTTATCAGGCAGCCAGCGAATCAGCAAAAGTTCACGAAATAAACCTACGCAATCAAGCGATAGATATAGTGAAATGGACCGAGTTCCTCTCAATCAAAGGGAACAAAGGTACGGCAGTTGATTGTCATTTTGTGTTTGTTCAGCGTGCGCTACGATATTAGCGATGTCCACTCTACCGAAATGTTTGTACTTCGCCGGAAAGATAAACACTTTATGTCACAGGATAAAGGGATGGAAACACAGCAGAAGTAAAAAATAAAACTCGCATGCATAAGGGAAGGGAAGTTTGTAAGCAATTTTTAGTGGCTTTTGTGGATTCGTTTTACACCGAATCTCAAATCACACGAGTGACATTTCTTTAACGAGACAATGAGGCGATACCCCCTAAAAACCGAGCTACGAATTCAGATCAATTCATACGAGCAACCGTGATCCATGGCCGCATGTTGGTTGAGTTTCAACAAAGTGCAACCTGGGGATCGGAATTTCGTGCAACAGATTCCGTTGCATCCAGATGATGAGAGTCGACCAGAGATTGCTTTTTATTCACTAATTACACCCGCATCTGCAGTAATCACTCTCTAGTACGACTTTAAAAATGTCAGATGTATTTGGTCATGCTATGGAGGGACGAATAGGTTGACAGGTACTAGTGTTTTACACAAAAGCGCGATCATATTAGAGAGAAAGAGGCGGACCTTCAGAGAGAATGAGCACCTTGCTAAGAAAACTTAATAAAGGTACGGACTGAAGAAGTTACACCGCGTCCAAAATATCGTGTGAAGAGCGATGCGCACATAATTGAACAACTAGATGATTTAGCAATACAATGAATAATCGACTTGAGTCAGACAGAAAAAAAGCATTAAACGACGGCGATATAGGTGACGAGAAGACTAAGCGGCAGTCACGAGCTTCCGGAAAAACAACAAAAACAACACCTGTGAAATCAATGTCGCTGCCCAGCCTAAAGCCTGACTCAGCTTACTGAATCAGACTGGAAAGTGTCGGGATGAGTTTGGAGGATTCGGGGAAGGACGAGAGAGACAAAGCGTTTAGACATGATAGGATGGGCGCGTCCCTTGGGAGAAAAGCCAAGTGACAGCGAACTATTGAACGCTTGTACAGGAACACAAGCGACCATGTGGAAGAGGGTTACAAATTAAGCCAGCCGAGAGTTGTTTAAAGCAGATGAGAGAAAACGCGAACAATCATCCCGCTACAACACATCAGTTGGAAAGTTCAATAAGCACCATATGGTTAACAGAACAGTTTTTTTTAACAGTTCCAGACTGCTAGTCGCCGGACACAGAGTGACGTTCCCAACATCCGCATGGTATGTAGGTCAGTCACGACGTTCAATCCAAGC